CCATGGGAATGCGTATATGACACCTTTCCAGAGCTCCCGCTCGCTGAGTCGCCAGACGGCCGACTCCACATATATGCCCCGCAGGAGACGTGACCTGGGTCGGCCGATTTCGCGCGCCTGCGCACGGCCCCCGCGCAGCGCAGTTTGCCATCGTTCCAGATACTCCCGAATACTCCACTCATTGTCGGGCGCTTCACCGCTTTGTTCGCCAAGATGGTCGCCAGGATCCTGGGCATCGTTAGCGTCGACGGGTTCTTAAAGCTGCTTACTCAGCGCGCTGCCGCAAACTACTGCGGCAACGCCAACCTGGTAGGCGCCGGCCTCGACGTCCAGCCAGTCGCGCGTGGTGAGATCACGGCAGTACGGTAGTCCTTACGTGGCTTTGTCGTGGAGGTGTTCCAGAAGAGGAGACGGGCTATGGTGGCTGAGTGTCCCCGTCGAGCCCAACTACTTCGTAGTGGACTTTTCGGGGCGGATGGAGGCGATCCACATTACCAATATTTCTCGGAGCTCACGGCCGAGGCCGTCATGCAGCACGTGTCCACGGTCCCGGGGCTGTCGGAGGATATCAAGCCGCGGCGCATTAGTAGGCGATCGTGTTGGAAGATGGCGAGGGCGAGCGCGCCAAATGAAAAAACGGTCGAAACCAAGCGACCGCCGCCCCCTTGTCGCCCGATCGGCTCGGCCCACGGCCTGTTTGGAAACCCCGGCCGCACGGCCGCTGGACTGGGTGGGGGGCCGGTTCCTTCCCCGGCACGCCCACACAGACCGCCAGCCTTCGAGCTCGAAATCCCGGGTCAAACCCCCTATAGGTGCCCGACGGCGGGCAGGGTCTCCACAGATCCGTCCAGTATCAAATGGATGTCCACTCGACTGGACGTAAAAGTGACCTTTCGCCGGAGTGACCTTCGGTGCGGGCGCAATGGGGTCCCCCAACCACCGATTGCGACGCGATAGTAGCGTCTTGCGCGCCTGAGTTCGGTCCCCCCGCGGCCCCCCCAAAAAGCCGCGCACCAAAGGTCACTCTTACCCAAGGTCACTCTTGCGTGTAGTCGATCCATGCTGGCGAGCTTGAGGGAGTCGTCGCGCTCAAGGGGTGGAGGATATCGCTCCAAGGCCTGGCGCGCAAAGCATGCCGACATCATGGTGATGTCGCTGGCCCACAACTGCGGCGAGCCCTTCCAGAGCAAGAGGCGAGTCCTTTCCTCCCCTTGATCCAAACAAGGTAGCCCATGATGTTTGCCCTGTATATGCGTCTCCTGTGTCCCAATTGGGGCAAGATCGGCCCATGCAGGGAATAGTAGAAATTGGCGTCGCAGAAGATCAAGGCCATGCTGGTGAGAGCGGACCCCTATCGGGATACCCATGGCAAGGCCCTCCACTTGCATGCCGACGAGCCCGCCGAGAAAGAAGTAGCCTGTGCGCAGGTGGTGCAGGATGATCGCCCCCAGATTCTCTATCGTGAGCGTGACGCACTTCGTCCCTCGGGGGATGAAGCGCGCGGTGGTCCTCGGCATCGTGGCGCGGATGGCCCAGTTCATCTTCCTTCCCACTCTCCGCCTCGATCCTCTCAGCGGGTCCCAGCAGCACCTCATCGAGGTATCCGACTACCCGGTGCAGCTCTTCAAGACGTGGGTAATGGGGGCAAACAATGAAGAACATGTCCCCCCCCGTCCCCGGGGCCCCAAAATGAATGAGCGGGGCAGACTCATAGAATTCAGCCGCCAGAAACTGCTTTATTAATCGTCTGCCCTCCAGCGTTTTGTTTTGCCGCCTTGCGGAAACTGATGTTCTATTCGTCCTCCTGCGTTCGTTTGATCACCCGCGCCCGCGGGAAGAGGATTGCGGAGAGGGGGCGCTGGAAGCGCCGCTGGGGAGTCCCAGCGCAGATCCAAGAAATCCACGGAGGACCGCCAAAAGTCCATGTGTTCTTTGCATCCCCGACTTAAGAACCAACCCGAGGACGGCCCAATTGTCGTCCTCGGTGACGGCGGTTGAAGCTTGACATTGACGCCAACGCTGCCGCGGGAGCAGCGTGTCGGAAGAACCGAATAAGTTCGGATTGGGCAACAGATATGAACAACACACTCCCTAAATCCCCTGTGAAACAAAAAACACAGCACGCGCGAGAATTCGAGCCGAGCGGGTACTCCGAAATAAGGCCAGCGCTACAGCAGGAACAACATTTTGGAAGAGCCGAGCACGGACCGATTGAAAAACAAATATGAGAAACGGGTTCGCGCCAAACCTGTGTGTAACTAAGAACACAATACGTGGAGGGGTGCAGGCAATCTTCTGGAGTGCGTCAGGGGAGCACGGGGAATAGTATTCATATTGAATAACTTTAGAGGAGCAATGACTAGCAGGGAGAAGGTGACAAGGGATACTAGAAAAGCAAGGGGAAGGAGGAGGAGGAGGAGGAGGAGGAGGAGGAGGAGGGGGAGGAGAATAGGAAGAGGAGGTGGGGAAGGAGGTCGCTGTCTGAAGGCGGCGCAGAATGTCTGCCTTCCGCGCAGGACTGGCGCATCATAATTTTCTGCTTCCCGTACAGGGCTGGCCAAAATCATCCTTCGCGGCCTCGAATTGTCCGCCCCTGCGGATTCGAATCGTCAGCCAGCGAAGTCCTTCCCAGCTTGTGCTTGCCCGGCTCTGAATTGACCCCCCGCCCCCCCGCCCGGAATTGTCAGCCCGCGCCCTTCCTGGGGCTTCAGGACGACCCGGGATTGTCCGCCCTCCGTCTGCCTGCCCCGCCCCTCCGCAATTGCTGTGGCGCTAAGGGCCCGCGAAACTTCTTTGAATCGTCCGCCCCAGAGTTTTTTTTTTTTTTTTTTATTTAATCGTTTGCTCCCATCAATTGAGGGTATGCGCCACTGGTCCACCTGACTCCCTTCCTCCCTCCCCCCCAGGCCGCGCCAGTGCCAAGGCCCTGGGTGCCGATTGCACCGTCCGCGTGGAAAGTGCGCCCCCCCCCTTGCCTCTCACCTGCCTCCGTTTCGGACTCCTCTGCCCCCGTCTTCTACCTGCCCTTGCTTCTGCTCCCCCTCCACGTCCCCTTGCGTTCTCTTTACCCCTGCCTATCTTGCTCCTCTTGTCCTGTCGTGGCTGACGGCTTAGTGGGCCCCGCAAACGGCAAGGTTTTTGTCCACCATGTCCGAAACATGTTTTTTTTGAAAATGGATGCGGCAAAAAAATGGCGACCCCCTGAACCGGTTAAAAAACGGCTCCACGATTGGAGCCAGAACCAGATACGGTAACAAAAACGGCGACGGAACCGATATAACAACGGCGTCGGAACCGGCAGAAAAATGGCAAAACGGAACCGGTAAAAAACGGCCTTGTCGCTTCCAGGGCGATCCGCAGCATTGGCACTGACCCAGGAGGGCACCTTCAGGCGGCGCAGCGGGCCTCTAGCGACTACCAAGGCCGATGGATTCAAAACTGTGTGCGACTAGTGCTGGTGGAGTCGTTTCTGTGCGCACTCGTTATCCCATGGGGTGGAATAAGGCTGGGGAGAAGGACGTCGGTCGCTAAACTTGTAAAAAGGATCTTCGGGACATCTTATCGGGTTCGTTAACCGTGGCACGCTGCTTGGCCAAAATGCTCCTCCTGAGCACTGGGAAAAACGGCGTGCCGGCCCATCCGCTATCGTTTCGGGTCCGGCGGGGTCTTCCAGCCTCACGCCAGAGTGATCCTCGGCGCATGTTCCGTGGAGGGTTTCCGGGAACATGCCTCCAGAGCCTTGCGCTGGGGGGCTTGCAGGCCTTTGGGGTGGACTCGGCAGGACTCTTCGGGCCCCAAAGACTTTAGGACCACCTTGCAGGTCCGGGCTATCGCCGACAGGACGCGGAGGAGGAAGGAAAGGGGGAGGGCCGGGGGGCTTCCTCATAGAATCCGAGTCAAATCCCAGCTGACCCTGCGCAGTTCTTGCAGCGCAGGGGGCGGCGGACCGTCTCCCCATCCCACCATCACGGGGGGAGTGCGGAGTCCCTGGACACGGGGCGGGGCGGGCATGGGCTGGCACCATGAGCTGGCCCACTTCCCAAGATATCATCCGAGCTTCTACACCAGTGCACAGGATTGGTCCACTGTCGGGCGACGAAATCTATACATACCCACTGCTCCCTGACCATGCCCATCTTGAACCCAGGAGCTGTGTATGCGCCCTCCCGGCCAAGCCAGGAGGGCGTGGCGTATGCACCGCTGCGGGGTGGAGGATGGGCCTGGCCAGGGAGCAGTGGATATGTATAGATTTCGTCGCCCTACACTGACGGATCCAAGTCATCCTCCATTCCTTGGCATCCAACTCGCGCGAGCCAGCATATGCTCCCCCCTCGCCGTGGCCCTCGTCGCGCCGCCGTGGACTGGCGGATCCAAATCATCCTCCATTCCTTGGCGTCCAATTCGCGCGAGCCAGCAGAGCTCCCCCCTCGCCGTGGCCCTCGTCGCGCCGCCGTGGCAGGCGGCGACGGCTCTCCGTCGCGAGCGGTGCCCTGCCGCCCTGTGGAGAGTTTTGCGGCCAGAGCAGTATATAGCTGCAGGGCACGGCCGCAGCGCGGGCCCCATGGCTGCCGCGGCCCGCGGCACGGCGGAGCTCCGTCTCGGGGCAGCGCGGCGGGCTTTGCATGCCTCGCTGCGCAGCGACGCGCGCAGCTCCCCAAAGCGCCGGACTGATCGGCGCCTTCCCGGGCGCCCGCGGCTGCGCGGGGCGCCTGCTGTCCGCTCGTCAAAAAAAGCTCCGTCTCGGGGACGACGTCGAGGTCTTGGGAAAGGGTGCCCGCCGCGCCAACGGGTGGACGCCCCGAGGAAGGCCCGGTGCAGGACGCCCGCGCAGTCTTGCTCGAGGGCCGGGCGCGCCGAGCAGCCCGCGTCCCGGCGGCCCGCCGCGCGGACTTCGCGCACGTGCAGGCGGGCGTTGCCAGGTGGGCCACTTGGCGGCTGCTGGAGGAGGAGGGCACCCTGGCGCCGCCAGCGCGCCAGCGCGCTGCGCGCGGTGCTGGCGGATGCCGCGCCTGGTGCGCTGCAGGCTCGCCGCGGCCGCGATCGTCGCCACAGCCTGGCGCTGCCGTGGGGCCACCGAGCGAGGCCATAACAGCTGCGCGTCGGAGGCCGCGCCGGAGCCCGCGAGGCCGTGCTGTTTCCACGGCCCTGGGGCCTCTGGAGCTTTCGGCCCCGGCGGGCGCGTTCGCTCGGTTTCGGGCCTCAGGGTCCTCACAGATCGTGCGAGCTTGAGAAATTCGGGAGCGGAAAAGAGGGGGGTGATGACTAGGGGGGGGTGGATATCATGGCGCGGGCCATGAGATTTCCTCAGATTTCATGGCGCCTCTTCTTATTTCATTACGTCCCTGGCCCCCCCGCTGGGCCGCGCACATGCCGCCGGTCATGATTTGCACCCCCCCCTCTTGGACACCCCCCTCTTGGCCGCTCCCGAGGTCCTCACAGATCGTGCGAGCTTGAGAAATGCAGCAGGAAGTGTCTTGGCATCGCTCGGGCGTCTGCATTTTTTTCTCGGCGAGGACCATCGAGAAGCATCCTGGATGATCTTGGAAAGTATGACGCACGGAGTCGAACATTACACGGGGAATGGACGTCCGAGCGATGGCAAGGATGGGGTCGGGTGCTCTGGTCGTGATTTGCTCCAATGTTGTACTTCGAAGACCTTACGACCCGACGCCGCCGACCCTGACGGGGGACGAGTACGACGGCAACGCCGACGACGACGACGACGACGACGACGGTTCGGCGGCGACGACGACAGCGACGACGAAACATACTCAAAATGTTAGGAACATCCTACGATGTGCCATCTTGGGGCTCTTTGGGTGTGCTCTGAGGGCTCTCGCGGCGATGCTGTGTGTTTTTCTGTCGCGTCGTCGGGGGCCTCCTCAGACATCCGGCCGTTCAAATTTTGTCGAAGCGTGGGTTCCAGAAGTTTCGACCACTTCCCGACGGAAGGTTTTCCGTCCTGGGTCGTCTTTTGAGGGGGGGGCCCACGGAAGTCGGAAAGGGGTCAAACATCGCCCGTCCCGATTTTTTTTTCTGAGCGTCGGAACTGTGGGGGGGGGAGCCCTGCGGCAGCCCGGCGGAACTCGTGGCAGGCTCCTGTGCTTCCGACGGTTGCTGGCGCCTGCCAGGAGAGGCGGACGCCTCGCCGACAAGGGGTGTCGCCCACGACCCTGAGATCCGACCCAGACCCCGTCGGGTCATGCCGACCCAGACTCGGGCCAGGCGAAAGGGGGGGATTGGGAAAGGGGGGGTTACGAAATTTGCTGCATGCAGCTGGTTTCGGCCTCACCGAGGGGCCCATTCCTCGATACATAGCCGCCTCCGGCGCCGGGAGGCGCCGGGAAAATCAGCTACGTGAGCTGATTCTCAAACCCCCCCTTTGCTATCCCCCCCTTTCGCCCGACCCGACAGACCCCGTCGGAAATGAAAAGACTTTCTCAGAAGGCGGCGGGGCTTGTCAGAGGCCGTCACGCCTTCCGAGAAGGCTCCTGTGTCTTCGGAGAAGACTCAGAGAACGATTCAGAGGGCTGGGGGAATGCCGAGCCTTCTGAGAAGGCCTGCCCCTTCTTACTTCCCCCCTCGCTGCTGAGAAGAGGCGGAGGTCTCGCCGACGAGGAGTCTCGCCGCGACCTTGAGATGTGACCCAGGCCCCCTCGGGTCATGACAACATCATGGTTGGTCTTTCGGCATCTGGCGCTCCTGGCTTGGCCCCAGGGCCGCCAAAAAACGGCTCAGGGTGAAAAGCCGGTTCCAGGGAATGGGTCGAGACCTCTGGGTCGACGTCGTGAGAAGATTTTGACGCAGGGGGTCTGAGACAAGGGGTCCCGCCGGCGACCCTGAGATCCGTCGTTTCCAAAAGTACACAACATCGTCAAATTTAGCGGCCGGAGCCGTGGACCCCATCTTTTTGTCGCATTTCTCCAGCCAGGTCGATCTGGAAGGGACCCGGGGCCCGAGACTGGGCGAAAACGCCCAGCTTGAAACCGTTGCAGCGCGTGGATCCCAGGAGTTTAGCCGACAAGGAGCCTCGCCCACGAGCCTACCCAGACCCCCGACGTCTTGATTCAGGAGGGGAAAAAACACACAGACACAATTAATCGGCGATTCCAGGAAAATATGGGAAAATATGGGAAGTGGGGGGGAAGACAAAAACCTAGAAAATATGATAAAATATGGGGGGTATTTTTATTTGTGTGTATTTATTTGTGTGTCCCAGTTCCCCTTCATTGATTCTTGGTCGTGACGTCGAGGTCTCGAGACCTTCCGCAGGACCAGCTCTCCATCCTGAGTTGTTGGGGTTGACGGCCTCGGGGCCCGGCGAAGACCCGGGGGAGCCCCGAAAGTGTGGACAAAACTCCCCGTCGTGATTTTTTCATCAAGGAGGAGGAGGTGGAGGAGGAGGAGGAGGAGCAGGAGGAGGAGGAGAAGGAGGAGGAGGAGGAGGAGGAGGAGGAGGAGCAGGAGGAGGAGGAGGAGGAGGAGCAGGAGGAGGAGGAGGAGGAGGAGGGGAAGAGGAGGGGGAGGGGGAGGAGGGGGAGGGGGAGGGGGAGGAGGAGGAGGAGGAGGAGGAGGGTTTGCCTACGCGCCCTGCCAGGGGGCTGGCCGGGCCGGGCGAGCCCTCCGCGGAAAGCGACGCCGACAGCTGCGGGGGCCGCTGGCAGGACGCCCGCTTGCCGCGCCGAGGGGCGCGCGCGCCGAGGAGTTGGAGCTGGCGGGGGGGGGTTGGGTGGCCCAGCGCTGGTTCCAGCCAGTACACCTTAGGCGATGCTTAAGAAAACCCAAGTTTTCGGCCAGAGTGTCGATTATTCTTAACGTTTCACTGTAAATCCTAAGATTTTAATAGACGTTCTGGGTTTTCTTCCATTTCTGAGACTATGAATTTCTTAACCCATGATTTCTTAAGCATTTCGCAGGGTGTATGCCCAGACCCGCTCGTGTCATGAAAAAAACGGGACGGGAGGTTTTCCACGGGTTTGGGTCTCTGGGGGGCCCTCGCCAGGCCCCAGGACCGTTGAAAACATGACATGGGTCGGGAAACCAGTTTTGGGGAAAGGGTCGAGACCTCTGTGGGCCGACGCCATGAAATAATCATGACGTCGGAGTTTTTTGTTTTGCTCTGGGCAGCCCTAAATCCGAATGCGCTAGCTCAGAGGAGCATGAAGTATTGATATTGGTAGTCTTCCAAATTTTCAGGTTTTCCTGTTCTCCCGCGCGGGCTCCAGGGACGATTGGTCGAGCGCATTCCGTCGCGCAGGTTCTTTGCGTGATGTTCGTGGTGCATTTTCTCGCATCGGAGCGCCCTCGAAGAGGTCAAAATTGCATGCTGTGTTGCTCTTGGGGAGTCCGCGAGTCGCAGCTGCCGTGGCGCTGTTCTCGAGGTAGCCCCTTCGAGTGCTGTTCGCGGGCGCAACGCGCGGCGCGGCGCGTGAATCAGCCGGCCGCGCCCGTCGGACCGCCCCGACATTCTCTCTGGATTGTAGATTGTGTCAGAAAGCGCTTCCGCTTTTTTTGCGCAAGCGGTTCTGGAAATTGTCAAAAAGGAGCCCGGCAATTTTCAACAAAAAACAGTTTTGAGGGGTGGAATGCGCCCGCGGCGCAGGACATCTGAATAATTCTGAAACCCGGAATTTTTCAACATGCGTTCCGGAATTTTGCAGAATCGATCCTGGGAGTTTTCAAAAACGATTCTGGTATTTTTTTCAAAAAGTAGGCAGGACACTTCCGGAATTGATCAAGTTTTACACCGGGGAATTTCCCAGAGTTGCGCGTGATTTGCTTTGCCGGGTCTTTGAAATCCGCCGAGGCGCGCGGTGCGCGGCGGCGGGCGATGGGACGGCGCGCCACCGTCCCCCGCTCGGCAACGAGAAGGGGGTCAGCATGTGCTAAATAGCCCCTTTTACGGGTGACCGCTCGACTACGAATGGGTGGCCGACAAGCGGCGCCAGCCAGAGTAGACAGTACTCGACGCAAGGTGTACCCCGCGCGAAGGCTGTTAGAAATCCCAGAATTTCCGGAACATATCAATCGCACGCTGTGTCAATAGATTTCTCTCGTCTTATTAGCGTTCATCAGCTTGCATAGCGCCGGTGTAGCGTCGAGTTGCATTGATTGGCGTCGGATACCGTCGACTAGCGTCGATATCGATTCGCACAATCGAACAAGATGGTATGGGAGGCCCCCATGAGTTGCCACAGAAGGGGAGGTTTGAGGTTCCAGGTTGGGCGAAGTTGTTTGCCTTGGTCGGTCTCTGGGGGCCTTGTTCGGACCCAGGGGCTGCAGAAACAGATCCGGGGTCAAGAACTGCACCAGGTGGGCCCAGGGTGGTGTCCACGGATTATTTTGGAGCGGATTTGCCTTTCCCCCTCCCGTGACCGATTTCCTCAGGCCCCAACCAGCTTAGACCCCCTGGCTGCCCCCAAGCCGATGGTATAACTGCTTGGGCGAGCGGGCCTCTTGTTCGGTCTTTCTGCTCTTCTCCCGCATTGGTTAGACGACGGATGTTCGATTAAGCATCGGCGCTGGCTTTTCCGTGGCAGAAGTCGACCTAATCTGGCATAGCCCCGATGAGTCCGGCTCAATCCCAGCTATTCCGGCCTAGCCCGTGGCCCAATCCAATTATAGTAAGTTTCATCCCGGCTGGCGCAACCTAATCCGTGGCCAAATCCGACCTAGTCCAGCGTACTCGCCTTTTGATATGGTTGGCCGGATAGCACGTCGTAATTGTTCTTACGAAGGCTTCCAATAGGCCGCTTCCGATCACGGGGGCCGCTCGTCGCCGGGGTCAGGATGCGCTCCTTGGGAGGAGGCCTGGAGAGCAGCGATGTCGGTTTCTGCTTGGCCCCTCCTTGCCCTTGTAAGACCAGGCTAAGAGGGGAGGACCAGACCACCGCCACCGAAAAACGATTGGGGGGGCCGACCTCTAGGCGGTGGCACGCCCAAGCGTCCTCCAGTGCCGCGCGATGCTCGGCCGTACCACCGCGCAGTGGTGTGGCGGTGGCATGGGAGGCCCCGAGGCGCCACGGGAAACCGCCGATGTGATTGTTTCGAACCCGGAGTAGTCCCAGGGCTCTGGTTGATAGGCCATTTTTGCCCCTGCTATTCTTGGGCGTTCCCCTACTGCGTTTTTGTCCCGTTATCCCCCTCGACATCCTTCAAATTCCCCCCCCTCTATCAAGAGCAGATGACCACGGTGCCGTGCCCCCGCACGGAGGGAGCAACGGGTTGGGGGAGGAACAGGAGGACGGGGACGGGTGGAGGAGAGGAGGCGGGGTATTCAGGGAGCAACGCCCAGCGGCTGCATTGTAGGGTGTGCGAGGGGTGCGGGGAGCTCTTTTGTTCAACCCTACGGCCACTAGCGTTGGCACAGCGTGTCCCTGCGCCGCGTCTGGCCCACCACGCTTCGGCGCGACAAGTTATCCACGTCCCCACCCCCAAGCGTCAACGCCCCGAGCTGTGCCGAGCCTCCCACCCCGCAAAACGGAGCGACACGCTATCCGCTTGCAGGGCACAGCGCGTCGTCAGGGCTGCCGCAGAGTCACGGTAAGGGAAAGTTCTTGACAGTAGTAACCCCAGCTTGTCGGGTGGGGGGGGTCCCCGGTGGTTTCGACTTTTTCCGGGAACCAGCTTACCATCCTGAGTCGCTTTTTGGCGGCCCCGTGGCGCGGTGAGGGCCCCCAGAGGCCGAGAATTGCCAAACATTTCCCGTCGCGTTTTTTTTCTCACGACGCGAGCATGCCTGTGTTCATTAACCCTTCATGAACCTGCCGCACCTTGGTACGGCCACGTGTCTTGCCCCGCCACTCCCAGTTCGCGGCCCGTGGCCCGCGGCTTCCTCTCCCCCCCGCGCCCGTTCTGTTTTCCTTGTGCCCGATTCGGCTCTGACGCACCCCTCGGCTGACTCGAGCGCCTCTTGGACCCAGGTTGCCGCTGACCAAAAACATGTTTGCATGTTCGGCGGCCAGCCCATGGGGGGAAGTGGTAGGGGGCGGGCCTTCTTAGTAGGTTGGGGAGTCCCCCATCCTTTTGAGGAGTCTCCGGCGCCTTCCCCGAAGGCACGGAAGATTTGTCACAAGGCCAGAGACCTTCTGAGAAACCCCGCATCCTCGGAGACGGCCTTCTCCTTCTCACATCCACCCCAGGCCCGCCGCCGAGTGTGACCAAAAGTCTGACCGAACTTGAGCATCGTGTTGGCTTCGCACCAGACAGTTTCGGTCACTCTCGGGCACCTCCGGAGAACTTCGGGCGCAGGTTCCGGTCACACCTTCGGGCAGGCAGGTGGCGCCGCAGACGAGGAACTTGGTGCAAACAATGGCCGTTTCTGGCCTCTTGGGGGCCCCTCCTGTCGGGCGGGGCGCAGAGCAGCGCACGCCAGGAGCCGCCGCCCGCCCCGCGGAGAGCTGCCTCGTCCGCGTGGTGCCTGTGCCGCCTCTGCCCGGTGCCGCCGGCCAGCGCCCCGCCCCTCCCCCCGCGCGCGGGCGCGAGGCCCGAGGCCCCCTCGGGTCAGCGAAAGGTGTCGATCCCTTGTCGCTCCCCGCATTTGAGGACCCAGACCCCCTCGCGTTGCGATGGATGAATTACGACGGGAAGTCTTATTCTATTTTTGGCACCTCGGGGCCCTTACCGGTCCTCGGGGCCGTCAACAAGAAGACTCAGGATGAAAAACCGGTCCTGGGGAAGGGGCCCAGACCTCTAGGGGTCGACGCTGCGAAAAAATACAACGTCGTGGGTCTGGGGATACGGTGGGGGCGTTGGTGAAGAATGTGCCCAGGATGCTCCACACCCTGGAGGGTTCTTTATTTGATGAGGGTGGCGGTGATCTTCATGGTCAATGCACAGTGGGAGTTGTGCCGGCTTCCAGACCCTGGATTCCTTCTCTGAGGGTTCGTTGTCCAAAGCCCACCGTAAGAGTGAGGAGGCGGGCACGGGTGGGTCGCGGGCTGGGTGGCGGGTCGGTCGCGGGTTGGTCGCGGGGCGGGTCGCGGGGCGGGTCGCGGGTGGGTCGCGGGGTGGGTTGCGGGTGGGACGACGACAACAACCTACAAGCAGAATTCGCGCCGCGGATTTCAACCTCAGCCACGCACCCAGGGACAGAGAATGACCGCTCGGCCTCCGCACTCTACGTGAGGTTTTTCGTTGATTTCGGACCTGCAAGATACAACCCAATATGATAAGCCTGTCCTGGGGAAGGAATCCAGACCCTTGGGGTCCGCGTGTGAAACAGATACGACGTCAGGGGTCTGGTGCGCGCGCCGCCGGCGCGGCGGCGCGGTGCGGCTGGGGAGCCTCACGCTTTCCGAGTGCGTCGGTCGGCTGCACGTGCCCTGAGATCTTGCTGTTGCATCTTGGTGACAGCGGGCGTTTTCGCCCTGATCTGGGCCCCGGGACCCTCATAGATCGATCCAGTTGGACAATTGGCGCAGAAACATGGGGTCAGGAGCTATGGCCGTGATTTTCGGTGATGTTGCATTTGGTTTGCAGTGTCGCATCTCAGGTTCTGAGCGCCCCCGCTGGGCTCTGGGCCTATGAAAAATTGCTCAGGACAGAAATCGGGGGCAACGACAGGAGGGATAGGCATAGGGGGGAGGCTTTGACCTCCAATCGACCAGTCGTCGTCGATAGGGGTCTGATAGCCTCACCCCGTCCAGGTCGCCTTTTGAGGGCTTTCGAACTACCCTAAAGTGGTACCAGGTGCCTGTCGAACAGGTCTTCAGGTGTTTCCAGATTATTTCGGATGGTGTTGGGGGATCTCTATGATTCCGCGTGGTTCGCAGAGATGTTCGGAGGTTCTTGGAGGGTCTCGGCGGTCCTGAAATGTTTTGGGACGTGCGTGGACGCTGGATGTCTCCGGCATCTCGGGGAGATGGGCAGGAACAGGAGGCGGTGGCCCAGTTGCACGAGGAGGCGGGGGGTGGGTGGGAAGGAGAGAGGCGTTCTGCTGCCCCAGGTCTCTCCGTGCATGCGCGGAGGTGGCCCTCGCGCCGACGTGCCCGAGCAGGGGGGCAGGAGACGGTGGGAGGCAAAGGGAGCTCGCGGGGCTCTCTTTGGGAATCTCTCCTGCCGTGCCGGAGGGGCCGAGAACCGCACCTGAGCACAAACGACGAGGCGCGCGCCCCCGAGACGGGGCGTCGGAGCCCCCAGCTCGATTCGGCGCCCGGGGTCGATCGGGCGGGCGATCGGGGGGAGGAGGAGGAGGAGGAGGAGGAGGAGGAGAGGAGGAGGAGGAGGAGGAGGAGGAGGAGGAGGAGGAGGGAGGGAGGGGGGGGGGGGGTGACATAAAGGGGGGGGGGGAGACAGGGGCCCTGAAGGGGCCCTGTAAGGCTCCTTTTGGCGCCAGCAGGGGCCGTAAAGGACCCGTGCAGTGCCCTGTTCTTCACGCCCCCCATGCAGGTCCCCCCCCCCATGGCCACCCGCCCGAGTCGAGAGTGGGGAGGATGGGAGGAGTGGCCCCTCAGCTCCCTCCTTCCCGCCACGCCTCTCCCCCCTTCCAGCTTCAACATGTTTCCCAGTCGCATTTTACATGAAGGTTTGTGACAATGGTCTGCCCTGGGGGTCCCTTTACCAGCCCCCCAGGGGTTGCCAAGTAAGTCATATTGATGGGGCCGAGCGGTTTTACACGGTCCCTGTGTGGGTGTCTGGAGCGTGGCCCCATGATGCAGATGTTCATGTTTATCGTTCTTCTCGTCGTCTTCGCCCCACGATTCGCCCGCGCCTCGACCGTTGACCAGCGCCGCGACCCACGCGCGCCGCGACCCACCCGCGACCCACCCGTGCCGCGTCCCTCCCATGCACCCGCATTCCTATCCACAACTGCGGGGGACTAAGGACATTCAGGATGAAAAGCCGGTCCCCGGGAAGGGCCGTGAGTTTTGGGGTCCACGACGTGAGCTAAATTATGAAGTCGGAGGTACCAGTTGGGATTCATCACCTTGTCGCTTGCCGCGCGCGCTTGACAAGCTTTACAGTGCAGCCCACGTCGCGTCTGGCCTTGGACACTTTCCCTTCCAAGCGGTAAGACACGATGTACTTGCGGTGGTGTCACAAGTGCGTGTTGTAATCTCCGGTGTTCCATGAGCGCGCACAGGCCAGCATCATAACACATACACACGCACAAACGCACTGCTACACATTTCTCGCTGAAAGCATTTTTGAAGCAATCAAGAAGAAAAGCACAGCTGCTGGTCAAACGGACGCTGTCAGTGTTCCTGCGCGCGCACTTGTTAAACTCAAGCAACATTCGCCCATCTGCAGTCTATCATCCACCGCGGGTTTTCAATGAAGAGTTCTGAACGCTTCGCGTATCCCCAACCAGCTGCGCGCCGCTTCCCCGGGTTCGCCCGTCTGGCGGCACCGCCCCGCTCGGCAGACGTGTGTTCTGATGGTGCAGAACAGGTCACGACCTCTCCTGGCGTGCAGGAGCCAATTCACTCGCATGTGTGCATAAGCAACCCTGGCCGTTTGCAGTCAGCTCAGCCAGCTCTGCCTCAGCCTGCGGCCCCACCGGCGGTAGGTTCTGACTCCGGGCTCGACCGCTGTGCTCTTAGGCTTGCGCGTTGCTAATTTGACAGGCCCGTGGCCCGGACCTCTCAGCTCGGCGACTGCGAATGCACGTCCGCCCGCGACCAAAAAAAAATGTATATCCCCAACCAGCTCCGTAACCCCCTCTGGCTCAAGCCGCTCTGGCTCGAGCCCGAGCAGCAGGGCGTTCTCGCGGTGGCCGCGGCGGCCGCTATGTCCTGTCGGGGTCACCGCTGGTGTGCCGAGGATCCACTGCAGGCGGCCGATCCCTGATGGGAGGCGGCGGCCACGGCAGCTCAGTGGCGGGAGGGCGGCGGCCGCGGCGGGGAGCTGCCGCAAAACGCTGCAAGGCGAAGGTGGCACTGGCTTGCGCCTGTCGGGTCGCCAGCTGCTCGCCGTCCTCGCCACCGCACTGCGGCGGTCCAGAGACAGTGGTGACCGTTCCTTCGGCGAGCGCCGCCAGGGGAATGAGATGCTCCATAGGCAGGGGGCGCTGCTGCAGGCCTTCGATCAACTGGAGAAGCAACTGACCCTTGACGAACGGCAGCAGCTGGAAGCAGCCGCGGCCAACACCGGCGCCCCCTGCGCCGCTGGCGCCGCGCCGCCGCCGCCGCCAGGGTTGCATGGCGCTGCCCTCGGCCGCCGGCGCCGCTGGCGACCTGCCGGCCGGCGGCGCCGCCGCGGTCGGTGTTGGCGCCGCCGCCGCCGCTGGCGCCGCCGCGGCGGCCGCGGCCTTCGCCGCTGCCGAGGCCGTCGCCGCGGCCGGCCGTGGCTGTCCCGCCGCGCCGCCGCGGCCGCGGCCGGGACGGCCTCTGCCGTCGCCCCAGCCGCCGGCGCCGCGGGCGGCGTGCCCCTCGAGCGCGTGCCTGGCGCGCTGGGCCCGGCTGGCCCCAGGGATCCCGCCGGCTTCTCAGCGGGCGGCGGCGTGGACAACATCGCCCGCCGGCGCTCGACTGCGCTGGATCACGGCCGACGGTAGCGGGGTCACGGGTTCGCTGGAGGAGCTCATCAGCCGAGGATGCCGTTGTTTGTTTTGATTTGTTTTCTTCTGCTAATTGTGGGGGCCGTGTGGACGTGGAGTCTAGGGATCATCTTCCTTCCCCTGCCTCGTCTCCCCCTCCCTCCCCCCGCTCCCCCCCTTCGTCCCCCCCCCCCTCCCCCCCCCCCCGTCCCCCCGCCCCCTGGATGGATGATCCCCCGAGTGTGAGGACGGAGGCTTCCCCCTGTGGGGTTCGTTTCGGGCTGGCTGTCTCTCGCTTGGGCCGTGGAGGAGGAGGAGGTTTCCTTTGTGCTTCTCTTTCGACTCACCCTCTGTAGGTGTCAGAGAGGGACAGATATTCATGTGCCCGCGTGTCTGAGCTTCACCTTTCTGAGAGTCACTCGCGTGTAGCACGAGCAAGATGTCTAGACAACTCTGAGTTAGAAATCAATGTATATTGCTGCGTAGGTTGTGTGCCCTCTATGTCTGCGCCAAGGAGGCGCTGGGATGGTCGGTGTGCCGAAATGGGTCAAGTGCCCCCGGTGTGTCCGGGTGGCACCGCCGGCGCCTCCTGTCTGTGGGGCCGTGCCAGGCGGCCGACATCACAGGGCCGGCATGGCGTGACCCTCGCCACCTCGCGCCCTGTTCCTGGGGCCGCGGCGCCGGGTCGAGGGTTGGCCGCCTCGACCGGCGCGTCCACAGACCGCCGAGACGGACAGGAGCTACTGCGCTCTCCTGTTTTCGTGCGCAGATGAATATGTCGACCCACGGATGCCCAGGCTTCCCGGCCGGGTCGCGGGGCAACGGGTTGGTTACATGGGGCGGAATGACATTTATGACAGTCACGTCAGATTTGCTGCGCGAGCCGACGCGGCAAACCCATGCAGTGCTTGTGGGAGTGAAACATATCCATATCCACGGCCTCGCGGGCTGGGCCCCTG